TCTGTCCAGTACCCCACCATCTATCCAGTCGTCCCACCATCCATCTAGGGTCCCATCTATCCAGTGCCCCACCGTCTATCCAGCATCCTCACCATCTATCCAGTACCCCACCCTCTATTCAGTGGCCCCACCATCTGTCTAGTAGCTCCCACCATCCATCCAAGTTTCCCCACCATCTATCCAATGCCCCCCACAATGTATCACATGCACCTTACCATCCATATATGCATCCCTGTCTAGGAGCTGTCTAGTGCTGCTACCATTTCCAGCAGAGAAGTCTTGCTTGCCTAGTACCCTGCAGGCCAAAGTGGGCCTTCAAGGGAAGTCACGACCTTTGGTATCCAGTCCTTTCACATACCTTCCAATGCCCCATGGACCCAGAGTTGCAATGCCAGAGTAGATCCAGGCATCCACCCACCATGAAATCTGCAGCCACCTTCCCAGGAATCCCCCAGGGGTCAGGCTACTTTCCTCTTCGACTCCACTAAACCCCGGGGACATGCCATTTCTTTCTCCCACAGGTGTGTTTGCAAGTTGATCAGAGAAGGCCCAGACCTCAGAAAAACAAAGCCCAGCCCAGGTGAAACCATTTTCTTTATCTAGGTGTTTGTTTGTTTAAAAGTGGACAATTACAGAGTGTCCGGTACGTGCCAGGACTTATTCATATGCTGTTCAATCCCCACAACGATGTTTTGCAGTGGATAGAGACTGAGCAGCCTCCCCAAGGTCCCTCAGCCAGAGCTGAGATTCAGATGCAAAGAGGAATCTCCAGCATCCAGAGTCTGAAGAGCATACTCTGGCTTCAATGTTGCTAAATTTTGTGAACCACAGAATCATAGAGTTGAAAAGGCAGGCTTGCTGTAGGCCAGTCTTCCGGCTAATATTTCAACGAGCAGAGAAGTGGGAGCTCTCATCACTGGAGGGTCTTCACAGCACAGACAGAAACCTCCCGCCCTTCAGTTTCTCCTAGATATCGAGGCTCCAACTTCCGGAGCCACACCGGACCAAGCCAGTCTCTGCTTCCTCTTGACAGCATTTCAGAGTTTGGAAGAAAACTCTCCTGTAGTCTTTCTGTCTCTCTTTTGCAGCCTAGGCATCCCCAGATTCTTCTACCCTTTCAACTATGGCTGATTTCAACTCTCTGCCTCTTATTTCTGATGCGAAGCTGGGCCGTGAAAGGGTTTTGCAAGAAGTATCAACTATTGTCAGTGACATTCCTGGGCATCCGTGTGGAGTAAATCCTCACACTCCTCTTTGGTGCTCTCTACCAGGTGCCAGAAACCCGAGCACGACTCGCGGGTGATTTAGGAACATCCTTGAAAACCTGCCTAGCGGGTAACGAGATGTTTACCTGCAATCACCTCAGAGCAAAGGTTAAGGGCTTTCGAATATTGAAGACATTTTAAAAGATTATTGTCAAAATTTGCAAAAGGGGAAAATATGAGAACATCTGTTCTTGAAAATCACTGTAAAATATTCACGTGCAAATAACTTAAAAATACTGAGTAGTGAATCTCTCTGAGTTCTTTGGGTATGGGGGTCCAGAACGTCTCAGCCAGAAGAGAGTTTTCCCCAAGAGGTCCTCCTACATCCTCTCACCTCACCATTTTCTTTATAATACTATACCTTTCCTCGGGGATTATTGCCACGATATTTAAATACGGGGTTTTGTAATAAGGGTTTTTAAAAATAGATCTCTCTTGGCAAGGGAGAGAAGTTCTTTTGGAACCGTTCTAGTGTCTGAGATAAACATTATGTAAAGGAGTGTTTCTGCCGTGAACCCGGAGAGTCACCCGAGGCCCTCTCGTGCCCTCTGGAGAGCGGTTCCACCGTCATGAATTTCATTCTAAGATCAAAAAAGAAGGGCCCTGGGAAGGCCGCTGGTTCTTGGATATTTTGCATCCTTTCTGATGCCTGTGTTACTCTTCATTTAAGGACTCTTGTTAGAGCCTGATAGCCTTGGTGACTTTGGTAAGGTCGGGATAGAACTCTCTCGATACTTCAGGATCTCCCGACCTCTTTTATACGCTAGCCCGGTTGGCAGTTTCTGGACTGAAAGACGAACTGCGGGCCTGACCCACTTTATAAAGTTTGTGGTGCCCCAATAAGCTTGCCAGACTTAGAAAAAAAATCATGCCCAGTTAAATTTGGATTTCAGATGAGCAACAATTTTTTAGTGAGTGTGTCCCAAACACTGTGTTGCAGCTGGCATCCTTATGCTCAATCTCAGTGTCAACTGCCCTACATTAATTTTCGTTAATGACCTTTAGAAATCTCTCCATTGTGAGATAAAATAAAAACTCCACCTATTTTTTCAATCTTTATTAAAAACATAACAAATCCTTTCTTGACAAAAGAAATACGTGCCAATTGAGGCATATGGCTAGTCTCACCCAATGTGTGTGCCTTGCACAGAATTGGAATCTGGGCCTGCACTCATTTCTTAGGAGCCGATAATTACAGGAAACTACAAATAAGCTCAAAACAAAAAACAAAAAACAAAAATGAAAGGAGAAAGAAAGGATCTCAGCACCTGAAGAATCGTGAGGAGATCGGGAATCTCGTGTCTCACCGTTATTTTCCCCGCACCCAGCACTGTGTCCAGTGCACAATAAATACTGGTACAATAATGTAGACATGAATAAATGAATGAATGAGTTATGCTCAAAGCCTCTTTCTCAAGCCACAGCTACAAGATATGTAGGGGCCTTTCAGATCTCAGTGTTGTGTTAGGCTCTAAAATAAGAGACTAATTAGGCTTTAAAATGTGTGGCTATGTGAGTTAATGAGTTTTGACAAGAAACAAATTTCTCTTCCCTAAATGGGACTCTGCTTCTTACCTGAGATAAAATAGATAAAACAAACTGAAGTTTGAGTAAGAAGCCATATAACTGTTTCCAGTAGAGACATTCACGATGAAATAGTTTCAAAAGCATTGGACACCACCAACGCCTCCACCCCAACCCATAATTCCCTCTTAGAGAAAGACACTCCGTGTTGAAGTGCTAACGTGCACAGTGGAAAGCCAGGGATCGTGAATCTTAATGGAGCAAAGAGGAGGGGAAGGAGTGGAAGGGGGTGGGAGGGGATGGGATGGGATGGTAGAAAAGGAATGGAACCGGAACATCTAAACTGAATAATTGTAAAAATGCCAAATGCCAAGATATTATTTATGCTCAGATGACATCTCAAAGACACTGCATCTCTTATGTCTCCGAAACATAAGAATTTTGCAACAGAGTGTTACAAGCCTTATTTGAGAGATTTATTGAAAGTTTGCTCCAAGTCATTGGGCATTAGGGTGGATGTTATAGCTGGCTAAACGGAGATTCATGTACTGTTTCTATGCTAAGCCTGTGAATGTTTTAAGTTTTAATCACTTCAGTTGAGCAGGCAGCAAATTTGGTGCCTGTCCCACTATTCTTTGATCCTTGAATTTGTGACCACTTGGAGAAGTTGATCTATATCTGATCAATTTCATGACGTAAAACACTAGCTAGAAAAGTGCAAGTAACTAATACATATCTCTTTCTGTAAAAGGGAAATTATTTCCATAGAAAAGAAGCATAATCTCTATTTTCCATGATTCAGATAAAGGTTTTATTTCTATCATGTAAATCCACATTTTAATAGATTTTTATTGTTGTTTTGCTTATCCCAATTCACTTTTCAGCTTCATCAAAACACTCAGTGTGGATATTTTATTTTCCAAAGTTGACTGAAGCAAATATGGACAGTAGCTCATTGCCAATTCTATATATTAAACTTTAAGGATGTATTTTCTGTGCTATACTGGGCAGAAAATAGCTATTAGATAAAGTCATTTGAAGAAGCAAACAAACTTTTGTAATCTGTTCTTCAGCAATGAGTTCTTCGGCAATACATATATAGTTGCCTTAATAACATGAGCCTCTGTTTTTACTTGATTTTATTTGAAAATGAAAAATCCAAATTTTTAACATACAGGACTATGTTGAACAGATCACTTTAATCAGTGTAAACAATCGAACTATACGCGTTTGTTTGGAAATGTATTATCTGCCCATCCTTATCCAAAATGGACAGGAGGTGCTATAAACTAAAACACGTTAGTATTATTTAAAATATTAAGAAAGGACAACCTTTAGATATTTGAAGTCAACTGATATGTTCTCCTGAGGTTTTTTTGTTTTTTTTTTTAAGGCTAAAACATACAGCTTCTTCACCCATTCCACATCTGTTGCGGTGTCAGTACCTGCATGACTGAATGTGTCCCCCTGGAATTTGTATGTTCAAATCCTAACCTCTAATGGGATGGCATTTGGAGGGGGGACCTCTGGGAGGTGACTAAGTGATAAGATAAGATAAGATGACTAAGATAAGAGTGAAGCCCTCATGAACGGGATTAGTGCCCTCGTAAAAGAGACCCCAGCGAGCTCCCTTGCGCCTTCCACCAGGTGAGGACGCAGCAAGAAGATGGCAGGCTGTGAGGCCGGAAGCTGGCAGTCACCAGACACCGAACCTGCCGGCTCTTGATCTTGGACTTCCCAGCTTCTAGAGCTCTGGGAAATAAAATATTTGTTCTTTAAGCCACTCAGTCAGTGGTATTTTTGTTATTGGAGCCCAAACAGACCAATATAGTACCCCTCTGTTCTTCGTCTGCACCTGAACAAGCTCAAGCTTATAAATAACCCGAGTGCAATGTGAAACCAAAACCCGGCCACAGAACAATGGAAAACTGGCAGATGGCCTTCCTTGTTCTGGTCACCGTACTACATAATGCCACCTATTTATGAGGCCTTTTTGGCATCCCAAAACAGCTGTATAAAAGATTTATTTTACTGTTGCTTGTTATTGAATTAATATGAAAGTTAATATGTCAAGATAACGTTTTGAAGCATTTTGATGTGCTTTTCTTTTTTCCCACTTGTACATCAAATTTGTCCTTTTCAGCCAGAGGGTCATTGCCTTGAGGAGAATAAGGATTGTTAAAGCTGGAATGCAAAGAGAAAAAAGATGTCAGTTCAACCTTTAACCGCCAAATTAGGATCTTAAAACAATAAGAACCAAGAATTTCATTTTCAAAAGCAAAGTTTATTGAGGGACAGGAAAAGAGTCAAACCTGGGAGGGCTCATTTATGGTGTTGACCACAAACCACCGAGCAGGTAGAAGGCAGGATGTGCATAAGAGTAGGAGATAACGCTTCTTAGCCGTGAGGACAGTTGCTGGTAGAGGGAGAAGAGGACGAGAGAGTGGAGACTCAATCACGCGCCTTCTGCCCCCTGCGCACACGTGCCCCTCCTTGGCGTCGTAGCTGGAGCAGGGGGCCCTAACATGGCATGACGATAAATGGAGCGCTTCCCCACCCCTGACATTCCGGGGCTCTCTATCACTCCTGATTTTTATTAAATAATATGAACTAATTTAAGTATGAATGCATTTTAAAACTACACAAAGCGTAAGTATACAGTTGGATGGATTTTCACATCCACCCAGATCAGGAAATAGACCATTACCAGCCCCCCAGATCCGCGCCCCCTTGTGCCCATTTCTATCATTAATACCCCTTCTCAGGGGTAACTACCATTGTCATGTAACACCATAGATCATGCATAGACATCTTTTTGAACTTTATACAATACGCATTCTTTTGTGTCTGGTTTCTTTCACTCAATATTGTGAGTGTTATTCACCTGTGCTGTCATCTGTAGCTATAGTTTGTTTATTTTCATTGTTGAAGAGTATTCTAGTGAATAAATACGTCACCATTTATTTTTCCATTCACCTGATGATGGATATTCGAGTGGTTTTTGCCTATTACAAATAATGCTGCTGTGCACGCTCCTGATCATGTTTTATGGTGCCCACATGTACGCATTTCTGTTGGATTTACACCTAAGAGTGAAATTGCCACTGGGTCATGAGCTATGTGCATGTCAGCCTTAGTAATTGCTGACAGCTTTCCAAAATGGTTGTATTAGTCTGAACCTTAGGAAATTGTAGTTTTTGCAGGTCAAAATATTTGAATACCAGTAAGTTCAATCGTTTAACCTCCAATTTACGTTTCTCCCAGAAGTGTAGGAGAGTTCCAGTTGCTCCATATCCTCGCCAACATGTGATATTATCAGATATAGCCAATCTACTGAGTGTGTAGTATTCTCTCTTTATAATTTTAATTTCCATTTTCATGATGACTAAGGTCTACATCTGGACTTTCTATTCGATACCTCTGGTGGTTATCTCTCTCTCTACCAACGCTACACTCTTGTAATGACTATAGCTTTGTCTGGTAGCGTAAGTCTTCCAACTTTATTCTTCAAGATTGCCTTAGGTATTCCCGGCCCTCTGTGTCTCCATGTAAAATCTGGAGCAGATTGTTGATTTCCACACACACAGACACACACACAAATCTGCTGACATTTTGATTATGCCGACATTTGCTTCAGAGGGAAGTGGTGATATTGAGTCTTCTGCGCCATGAATGTGGAATCGATTTCCACTTGCTTAGTTCCTCCTATGAGGCAGCCAGCGCTTCAGGAGAAAAAGCAATGCAGAACGGCAGGCTCCTCTCTTTCAGTTTTCCTTCTTTCAAGACTCTGGACCCTTCAAGTCTGGGCTGCTTGGTAGCTCATCAATCCCTTCATCCACGTCCTCACCTTCAAACAGATATTTTTCCCTAGTTTTTCCTGGAAGGGGGCTTATCTGATAGAAATTTGTCCACCAAAGTGGAAGTGAGTAGAAGATGGAGAGCAGAAGTGGGGTAAAGCAAGGATCTGGTATCCAACAAAGGTGAGTTCAAGTCCAGGTTTGGCTGTTTATTCTTTGTGACCTCAGCAAGCCTCGATTTCCTTTAAAAACATCAGATTAAAGACACAGAGGTGGGAGATGATGAGATGTCTTCAGAGAATGGCTATTCTGGAAGAAGGGTACACGGAAGAGAAGACTAAAAATGCAGGGAGAGGTCCACATAATACCGGCATTTACTCTGTGTGTGTTCACTATGCATCAGGCCCTGTGCTACGAGACACCGTCATTCTCGTGTCATGGATGAATAAACTAAGGATTAAGAAGTGACTGGTTCCAGGTCTCTCTGCTAGTATCGATTAGTGATGGAGCCTGGATTTCAGTCCAGGCAGCCTGATTCTGAGCATCTGCTCCTCATCAGAGACTTCAGCAGTGAACCACACAGTTTCAACTTTATTCCACACTCACTGGAGAGCTTTCAGATTTCTTTAAGGCCAAAATGATGTTTGATTTAGGAAGAACAATCTGGTCATGCTTGAAGGATGAATAAATCTCTCAACATAGTTTTTAATTCTAGATTTCTACGTCATTGTCCCGTATTGTCTGAACAAAATAAAACAAACAAAAAAGTAAAACTCCTGCAATTTATTAAGCCACATATCTAAAGAGACCACCACTCAACTTGTTGCGAATGTTACCCATTTTCTTGGTTTTACATTTGTCTTGATTTTCTGGATTCACAATTCTTACCCAGCAAAACTACTTCTTGAGAAATGGGTATGTGAGCCATCCTGTATCTTATATATACATTTGAGTTCCTTTCTGACCGATTTCCACATGCTTGAGATTGCTATTCTTATCAGCTATACTGTTTTTGTGTTTATTACTATTACTTTTTAATTGCTAAAAAAAAATCTCTCAAGAGCGTAATCTCGTCAGTCCTTCTGTGACGGTCCTCTGCTGGCATGGGGGATGTTAGATGCTATAGATATTTTTAATAAATTATTTTAATTTCTCTGGTTGTGAAAATAGTGTGCATTTTTCAACTTATTTTTACGTGAACATCATCTTTTTGTGGTTAATTCTTAATCTATTATTAGCTTTTTCTCTCTCCCTGTTGTCATCTTATCCCATTTGTTCTTTTCATTGAAACCTCATCGTTGTCTGCCTTTTGGCAGAGACGTCTTAGCTTTGCATATTCCAAGTAGGAGATATTATCTACTGCTATTTCTTACATACTTAAATCCTGCATAAATTTATCACGTCTAAGCAACAGGGCCAATATTGTTGTCTTCTCATTTTTTAGACGCCTATTGTCTTAGTGTCCTAGTCAGCTCAGGCTGCTGTAACAGACTGCCATAGACCAGGGCTTAAACAACAAACATTCACTTCTCACAGTTCCGGAGGCTGGGAAGGCCACAATCGAGGTGCCGGCAGATCTGGTGCCTGGTGAGAGGCAGCTTCCTGGTCTGCAGGTGCCTGTCTTGTTGTATGCTCTTGTGGCAGAGAGCAGAGAGGGAGGAAGCAAGCTCCATCCTATCTCTTCTTATAAGGGAATTAATCCCTTTCAGGAGGGTGGAACCTCTCCAATGACCTCCCAGTACTATCACATTGGGGGTTAGGATTCAACATATGAATGGGAGGCTGGACACACACACACACACACACACACACACACACACACACATCCAATCCACACATCGAGGCTCGATGTTGAAATGTTCTCTTGACTTAACAATGATGATTTCACTACATGCTACTTAATTTGCCGGCTTCTTGGGATATTTACCAGGCCTGTGAGTTTAATGCATTAGTTTCTTCCTGGGTCTATTATTAAAGTGATTTTTTTAATCAGTTGATGGTGAGGGTTCTCACCATGATTTCATGCATCCTACGATAACAATAATCATAACAATAATCATAATAGCAATAATAATAAATTTGTGTTTATTATTTGCTTGGCCCCGTGCTAAATACTCTGCATACATCATTTCACTGAATCCTCTCAAAATAAGTATCGCTACCCCACTTATCATATGACAACACCAATCCAGACACTAAGTGGCAGAGTGTGATTCAAACCCAGATCTTTCTAAAGCCAAATTCTGTGCTCTGCTCTATTTAACATCAGCGCCGTTTGACCCGTCTGCTCTTCAACAACGGTGACAGTTTGGCTGAGCTCCTCTTCCCTGGTCCCGACTTCATGTGTGACTTTCTGTTTGTTCTGTTTTGCCATATCAAACCTTCTAGCATTTCTTTCAAGCATATAAAATAAAAAACCTAGTGGAAATTTTATGGCAAGAATTGAAATAAAAATTCAGGTCACACCATCATTTGAACTATACTTTAAAATCCACACAATGTATTGATTTCCTCAGGTCTAAAACTATTTCTGAAATTTTTCCGGATATGTGCTTGGCTTTCCTTTAAACGTTTCCGTGTGCTGTCTCATATGCAGGTACCCAGAGATTCAGTTAACCACAGAGACAGAGTTACTTGCTGTTTTATGGAAGCTTGTGTTCCATCTTCTGGAAGGAAAGGAGAACACGACAAGAACCTCTAAGAGCTCATGTGTCCCAGTCCCTGGACTTGTGCCACCAGAGGGCACACACAAGCCCCTGGATAAAAGAGCAGTGGCTAGAGGACCGCGTGGAAACGGTCTCCCAGACAGAGGTCGCGCCACGTCTGCGTGCCCATCTCGGCTGCCCCTTGGGTCCCGTGCAACTAGCCTGCAACTAGCCAGAGCCTGGCCTCTTCCACAGAAAAGCCTCTTCTCGCCCTTCTTTATCAGCCCTGAGGCTCCTCCTGGCTGGGCGGTGGGCTCCTAGCATGGCTAAATTCCCACCTCTGGTAGTCAGTCACTCCACCCCGTCAACGTGATTGCGAATATGTGGACTTCAACATTCCCGCCACGATCCCCGCTTTTGTTTCCTCTTCAAAACTTGTAAACGCATTTTCAGCATCTTCACATAGATTTTACTTACAATATCAGTAGGCCCAAACATGGAGTTTAGAAGCATAGGGAAATCCTCCCTACAGGTTTATCCTGAGGAATTAACAGGTTATAGATATATTTGTGCTTAAAAAAAAAAAAAAAACCCAGGGCCTGCCCGCTGGCACAGCAGTTAAGTGCGCACGTTCCACTTCTCGGCGGTCGGGGGTTCACCGGTTCGGATCCCGGCTGCGGACATGGCACCGCTTGGCAAAAAGCCATGCTGTGGCAGGTGTCCCACGTGTAAAGTAGAGGAAGATGGGCATGGATGTTAGCTCAGGGCCAGTCTTCCTCAGCAAAAAGAGGAGGATTGGCAGCAGATGTTAGCTCAGGGCTAATCTTCCTCAAAAAAAAAAAAAAAAACTCAACAAGAGTATGTTGCTTTCCTGTGCCAGAGTCCCTTGGGTATATATCTTTGGGGACCTCTTAAGGTGACTATTAAGCAATATTCAGGCATTTCTGGGTCTTCTGGACATGAGCCATCCACTAGTACCAAACTGTGCTCCTATTATAACACCTCCCTATTCTTCTGGCACTTAGCATAGCTAGAAACAGCCTCTGTATTTTTTCCCTTCTTTTTTTTATGTTTTTTTAAAGATTGGCACCTGAGCTAACAACTGTTGCCATCTTTTCTTTTTTCTTTTTTCCTGCTTTTCCCCAAATCCCTCCAGTACATAGTTGTATATTTTTAGTTGTGGGTCCTTCTAGCTGTGGCATGTGGGACGCCACCCCAAGTGTGGCACAACAAGTGGTGCCATGTCCGCGCCCAGGATCTAAACCAGTGAAACCCTGGGCCGCCGAAGAGAAGCGCGCAAACTTAACCACTCCGCCGCGGGGCCGGCCCCTTTTCTCTTCATTTTTGCCAATCTCAGATTAAGGAGAGTTTTATCCTCCACGACACATTCTTGTAAGTCTCTGTCATTCTCTTCTTTCCACCTTTGTTTCAGAGCTTCTGTTTCCATCTGTGTTCCCAAGCCTTTTATAATGTGTGTTCATCAGAGAGACCCCAGGGCAGCTATATCGATTTCTTTAGATGCTCTTGTAAGAAGAGTTCAGGTGAAAGAGATCACTATCCATCACTGACCTTTAGCCTTAGTTTCTTGGGTCTCTCTCTCTCTCACTCTCTCATTCTCTCTCTCTCTGTCTCCAGCTCTGCTTGGTGTTTGGACCACTATTGCCACCAACTCTCCTAGTACTCCTGGCTCTTCCAGCTGAAGGATAAAGCCATTTCTCTTTCCCCTTAATTTAAGAGAGACATTTGCCCTCCCTCAACTCCTTTAACTTACTGGACTCCTTCCTGCCTCAGGGCCTTTGCACCTGCTGCCCCTCTGCCTGGACTATCCTCTGTCCTCCTTCTCTACCCCGACACCCATTTCCCCACCACAGCCTGACTCTTCATTTGGTTCATCTCTCCTCTCCTCATTCAGGTCTCTGCTTTCATGCCACTTCCTCAGAAGGGATGTTCTGACCACAACTCCCCTCCCCAGGTCTAAATTACATCTTCTCTGTCCATCTCAATCATGTCACCCTGTTCTTTTCCTTCCTACCATCTAGCACATTTCCAGTTATACGCATATTTGTGCTTGTTTATTTCATACCCTGCTCTCCCACTTCACCTCTAAGCCCCACGAAGGGCTTGTTTTCCTTTGTAACCACATGCCCAGCCCAAGGCATGAAAAGCCTGAAATCAATATTTAACTTGATGAGTGAATGAACAATCAAATGTTGAATATTTTAGGAACATTTCCCAGGAGAGAGAAGAAAGTAACAAATTTGAAAATGCAGTACCTGAAAAGTTTAGAAAATTCTCTATCTTAATTTTGCTGACCACTGAGCCTAATGAGCCGCCCGAGATCTCACGTGGACGAAACTAGTGCTGGGGTGAGCGACCGTCCCTGTTTGCTCAGGGCTCTCTTGACTTCAGCGTGGAAAGTCTCCCATCCGAGGAAACCCCTCTGTCCCAGCCAAACTGGGATGGTTGGTCGCCTGACCTAGCATAGTCCGTGTCTTAACCCACCTGGGATAAGAGGGCAACAAATCTTTCTGACCTCTGAATGTTTTCTTTCAGCCCCAGGATCACTCAATTTCTGTGGACTTTCTAGCTGTGCAAAGACCTTCTCTCCCCTTCAATGCACACTTTGGCTGGAAACCAGACCTGGGACTGGGCACGTATTTTGGATGTTGTGTTAAACTCAAGGACTATACATTTTGCTGTTTCCTGGAGTGGCTGTTGCTAAATATGGTACTATTTTTTTTTTAAGATTTTATTATTTTTTTCCTTTTTCTCCCCAAAGCCCCTCAGTGCATAGTTGCATATTCTTTGTTGTGGGTCCTTCTAGTTGTGGCATGTGGGACGCTGCCTCAGCGTGGTTTGATGAGCAGTGCCATGTCTGCGCCCAGGATTCGAACCAACGAAACACTGGGCCGTCTGCAGCGGAGTGTGCGAACTTAACCACTCGGCCACGGGGCCAGCCCAGGTACTATTTTTATTATATTGAGCTGTGCAGGATAACATTTTTCTTCTGCTGTATGCTGTTAAGATCTTTTCCTTCACATGGACGTTGAGAATTTGGGGCCATTCATTATCTAGGTGCACCCTTATTTGGGTTTCTTCTTGCAGGTGTTCTTGAGTTGTTTCCGCGATAGTTTTTTCAGAACAGTATTGATGTGAGAATTTTTCTTTGTTTTCTTCCTCTTATTTCCATCTTTACCTCCTTCAGATTTGCCTGGCCCATGGAGTCCTTCCTCCTCTGCCATCCTCAAGGCCTTCTCTTGTTTTAAAGCCCAACCGATGGCATTTCTTGGCTCTGACTGTCTTTACCGTCTGCTCTGTGAGCCTATTTCCTATTTCTTCCTGCTGGCTGGTGATGATTTCCAGTTTCCAGGTTACTGTCTCTGATGTCCTGTTTATAATTCCCTGAAGTTTGTGATTATAAAAAAGGGTTGATTTTAAAATCTTCCTGTTTCTAAATTTCTGAGAAATGCTTTGTGAGCCGTTTCTTTTCTCTGTCTTTCCTCTCTGCTTCCATTTTATTCCATCTTATAATAGTAATTACTAATAATACCATTCGAAGGTGTCTTCTTTCATTTAGACACCTTTTTTTCTTTCCCGAATTAATTTATTAACTAACCTACTCTTTTCTCTCTTTAGGGCTTTGCCTGCCTTGCAGCTCAGCAGCCTCATGACTCCACCTCTGCTTTGAGTGTTAATAGAGTCCTATTTTTATAGGGGATAAAACTCCACACATTTGAATGCAAATAATTATAATTCCTTTTACCCATTTCTTTCCATTTTTTCCATTGAAAGTTGGTTATTGAGGCAGAGTCCATGGCAACATCAACCACCAGGTGCTATTTTCTCTGATTTTTGACATAGGGGCTCAGAAGCATCCTGGCCCTTGTGAGTCCAGTAAAGTGATATGCTGTGATATAATACAGAGTCTATCCGGGACTTGGGAGAAAAAAGTGGGAAGTTACCTGAACATCAGTAAATAGGAGCTGTGTGTGATGGTGCAAAAGAGAGGCACTTGGCTACCAGGAGGACTGTTTCCAGCTCATGAATAATCAAAGTCAGTATGAACATCTTAATAAGCAAAATAACCTGCAGGCACGACAGACTCAGAGGTTTGGTGAGGCCTCATGATTCCTCCTTAAAACGTGCCAAACACTGTTTTCATTGATTTTAAGAAGGCAGACATATGCTCGGGAAACCTTCAATAACGGGCTCTTGTTGGGCACACGCAACAGCAGCTCTGAGGCGGTGCCTGCCTGGCCTCTCTCTCTCTCATTCCCTCTCCCGTAGAGTTTCTGCTTTCTCTTGGTCTCTCTTGTTCAACTGCCCTAATCACGTACAATCTTATAAGGCAGGACGATTGGCATCCAGCAGGAGGTTCTCTGTCAGGCAGCCTTCGGCTCTAGCTGGTCCAATAAAACAGCAGAATTTGTTCTACTCAAAACATAAAGCTCTAAAAGCCATTAAAAAATGGCTAAGGGGCCAGCCCTGTGGCATTGTGGTTAAGTTCCCATGCTCCACTTCAGTGGCCTGGGGTTCATGGCTTTGGGTCCCAAGTGTGGACCTACACATCGCTTTTCAAGCCATGCTGTGGTGGCGTCCCACATACAAAATAGAGGAAGATTGGCACAGATGTTATCTTAGGGACAATCTACCTCAAGCAAAAAGAGGAAGATTGGCAATAGATGTTACATCAGGGCCAGTCGTCCTCACCAAAAAAAATTAAAAATAAAAATAATAAAAATTAAAAATTGCTAAGAGACTACTTTTCTTGGAATAGAACTGACACTTTGATAACTGGCACTTTGGAGGCTGTGAAAAGAAAAAAGTAAGAGTATGAACCATGGATAAAACAAACAAGACGTTCTGACCCAGTTAGAAAGGAGTAGAAAGACTTTCTGAATTTTTCCTGTGACACGTCTTGCTGTCTTTTGCCCCTATGCCTTTTGCTTTGATGCATGAGGTTGAATTTAAAAGTCAACATCCGGGCATTTCTCTCTTACAAAAATGGCTATTTCCCTGGCTTTCATTTAAAACCTATTACTTGAAATATCATTAGCTTCCTCTGCCATCTTTTTCTATCCAAATCCTGCTCATCCTTTAAGGCTCAGTCCAAATGCCAGTGCACCAGGAACCTCCCTTGAGTCTCCCAGCCTAAAGGAACGAAGCTCCCCTCCAAGTCTGTGCACGTTAATTTATCGTCACCCCAATCACCATCCATGTTGTGTTGCAGGTATTCCCTACATGGCTCATCTCAGCTTCCGACCATTAACTTCATTTTTGGACCCATCCCCGCTCTTCCCCAGCATCTCCCAGCACCACATCTAGCACAGAGTAGGAGCTTGTCATTGGCAGAATAATTATTCATGGATTACCTTACTTGGCAAAAAGGAATTGGGGTTCCAGACAAAAATAAGGTTGCTAATCAGCTGGCCTTGAGGTAGGGAGATTGTCCCGTGGGTCCAATCTAATCACACGAGTCCTCAAACATGGAAGAAGAGGCAGAAGAGAGGGTCAGAGTGATGGGATGTGAGAAGGACTCACCCTGCGTGGCTGCCTTCGAAAACGGAGGAAGGGGCTGTAAGCCAAGATATGCAGGCAGCCTCTCAAAACTGAAAAAGGCAAGAAAACGGACCCTTCCCCAAGAACCCAGAAAGAACACAGCCCTGCCGAAACCTTGTTAGCCCAGCAAGACCAGTACCTCCCTTCTGACCTGCAGAACGCCAGGATGATAAATTTATGTTGTTTTAAGCCATTGAGTTTGTGGTAATTTGTTACAGCAGCCATACAGAACAAATATAAAGCTCAATAAATATTTGTTAATTAACCAATTGTTGTGGGTTTTAACGACTTTTTGTTTCTAAATCAGAATTAAATCAACTCAAATTTCACAGGGTCACACGTTTAGAAGCTTTTTCTTTATTTATGGAGATGAGTAGAAATGCAAATCTTTTGTTTCATTAAAATGCTCACTCAAAACAATATATTTTTAGATGTTTGAGAAAGGGGAAAGATTACTCATCACCTCACCAAGATGCAATGCTTTCATTTTTTTCCTCTTTTCCATTCCTGATCATAAGCACATCTAATTTGACACTGAAATAATAGCAGTCATAGCAAAAATATAATTGTATGTTCCTTTCCACTTACTACTGCATAATAAATATTTCCCATAGTTCTGTGTGGTCCTTATAATTGTCAGTAAACCATTACCTTCTATTCCATTAAGTTGGGTACTAGCATTTACTTCCATTCCTCTTCAGTGTATCGTTGGGTTGTTTGAAACATTTTCCCCTTACACTTAGAGAAAATACCGGAATTAACTTTTGTTTTCATTTAGACTTTTGTTTCTGCTGAGTTATCTGGCCAGCAGATTTCCATCATTGAGACACCGGATGAAAGGTCGAGGAGGTCATGGCTCACGATGGGCATCACCGGGACGGTTCCAGGGAGGCTGAGAAGTGGACCAGTTTCACTACTGTAGCTGTCGGAGTTTGGGGTGTATCACAGTTGTTTACACTGTGTGCTTTGATTGCTAGTCAGGATTAACATCCATTTGTTAATCCATTAGTTACATTTTTATTGAGCAAAATATGCTGATGGCCTTTGTTCACTTACCTCTTAGGGATTTGATTGTTTTCTTATAAACAACACTTTTAAAATGCTCTTCAGAAAATGTAACTCTTAACTTTCTGTCAAATTTATATAAATACGTTTTGTCATCCAGTTTGCTTTTTAATTTTAGCTATGGAGGGTTGAATTTGTTTATTCCTATAATTTTTTTAGGAAAACTAAACCAAACCAAAACATCAACAACAAAATGTAACAACTTATGTGATCTAAACTCTGTGGAGCAGGCTAGCAATTCAGAATAAATCAAAAAGCTTGAAGCAGAGTGTTACATGAATAACCTGTATGGTAGCTTTAAATTTTAATCTAATAACTTATATGTGATTTATAATATGAATAGCAATTTATTATTTGTGGCAAAATTTCTGGAGCTCACTTACTTTTCTTTTATCTCCTGACAAAGCTGTAATTTGAAAATGAGCAAAAACCTTAAAATTAAACCCATTCAAGAAAAACCAACCTCTGCCTCTTTCTTACCATTTTTTTCTGATTATAAGAATAGTGCATGTTCATTTTATAAAAATGAAAAATAAATGAATTCCAACTCTGATCTCTCATCATCCAGAAATAACTCCTGCTACAATGAGGTGTACTGTCTTTCAATCTTTTTGCCAAGCGTGTGTGTGACTATTTAAAATTTTTAATAGGGGCCGGCCTAGTGGCACAGCAGTTAAGTTTGCACATTCCGCTTCTCCGGAGCCAGGGGTTCGCCGGTTCAAATCCCAGGTGCGGACACGTCACCTTGTGGCATGCCATGCTGCGGTAGGCATCCCACATATAAAGTGGAGGAAGATGGGCATGGATGTTAGCTCAGGGCCAGGCTTCCTCAGCAAAAAGAGGATGACTAGCAGTAGTTAGCTCAGGGCTAAACTTCCTCAAAAAAAAAAAAATTTCTAACAAATTTGGGGGCTGGCCCAGTGGCATAGCAGTTAAGTTCGTGCTCTCCGTTTTAGTGGCCCAGAGTTTGTGGGTTTGGATCCCAGGTGTGGACCTACGCACGGCTCATCAAGTCACGCTGTGGCAGTGTCCCACATATAAAACAGAGGAAGATGGGCACAGATGTTAGCTTAGGGCTAATCTTCCTCAAAAAAAAATTTAACAAATTTTGATCATAATATTTTGTATCACCTGCTATTTCTTGGTGAGCATTTTCCTATTTCGTTAAATACTTTTGAATCGACTATATAATTGAATAACATAATCTACATGGGCTAGTTCAGCTCTACCTTAGAAGCAGTTCAAACTCCTGAAGGAAGTCTTCTCATTTCTTAGGGGACGGACGAGACCAGTGTTTCTGCTGCTGGTTCTGAGATCAAGTTCGCACAGCATCCCGGAAACAGCTGACAACAGAAAGAGATGCCGTTCGTGTGGAGAGCCAGAACTCTCCCTGTGGCCACTCTAGGTCCACCTCCTAAAAGTCCATGCACATTGTGCTCCAAGGTGCTACTTATTTTTAGAAGTTTTCCTCTTGTTTCTGCAGCTGTTTTTAATCACAAGCTTTGGGCACTACATCCCAAAGAAATTCTGGCAGAGACAACGAAGGGAGGGACAAGGCACTTGGCAGACCCATTTGGACACTGTATTTACAGAACGGGAACTTATCCACATAGAACTTCACATTTACAGGGCAGAGAAACTTGCTGAGTCCCCACACTGCATCTTAACTACCAGCTGGGTGACCTGGAGGAAATCCCTCAAGTGAACTTTAATCTTCTCCTCTGCATAACAATAAATACCCCGCTAAGGGATGATGGTTAAATGACAGTGTAAAACTCCTTTGTAAATTATCCGACCACTTCTGAGTAGAGAGGGAGAAGAAACTTCTAGGGCATCCTTCTGTGCCTCTGCATTTTATTAATTATACTTTCGTAAGTTATTAACAACAAAGTGAGCCAATATAGGTGGCTAAACCTTTACAAAGGAGTTTAGATAATTCAGAAGGAATTGAAGTTTTGAGCCAAGTTATCTTAAGAACCATAACAAATCCCCAACTTTCAGGGCCCAACACCATAAAAGTTTTGTCGTGCATGTGAACTTCCACCACAGGTGCTGCCGGTCGGTGGGCAGTCTTCCAGGGACCCAGACTCCTTCCATATTGTGGCTCTGTCCTCATCCTCTAGGGCTTCAGGGTCCCTGCATTCAGCCAGCAGATGGAGAAAATGAAAGGAGCAAGAAGGCACACACCTGCTCCTTAACCACCACAGCCGGAAAGGGACACTCGTCAATTCCACTCACAGTTCATTGGCAAGAATCCATTTCACAGCACACTTCACTGGGGAAGAAGCTGGGAAACACAGTCTAGGTTCGGTGAGCAGCTAGCAAGCCTGCCACATATGTTAATAGAATTAATTCCATCTATCTTGGAAATAGATGCCAAGAATCAATGCTAAGATTGAGCATTACCTACAGTTCTGGACTAAAAGTGAATGATACGGTTCTCTTTGTGATCTCTTACAGTCTTGTTCACAGCATATTCTTAGAGTCGTATACCCTTATGAGCACACAGTCTTACAGCATACTCTTACGGTCTTGTTTACAGGGGTCTCCAGAGGAAGATTACATTTGTTCTGCATTTATTTGTTAATTCTTCATTCTTTCAAAAGAGTGTTAGCCAAGCACATTCTGTGAGCAAGTAACTTATACCCATGAAAAGTGACACGCTGGAGGCCTGGGGCTCTTTGTTCTGTAAGCTGCTAGGAGAGCAGCTATGCCCAAATTCCTCTGCTCCATTCTAATAGGGAACAAAGATTACGAAGTCAGACTGCCGGCTCAGATCTGGACTCTGCCTCTGATAGCTGTGTGGCCTTGGGCAAGTCATCTAGCCTCTCTTGGCCTCTGCTTTCTTATCAGTAAGATGAGGATGAATGAGAGAGTGCTTATAAAGCTCTTGGCACAGTGTCTGGAACACAGCAAATGCCCACACATGTTGGCTCAATGAGCATCGCCACCACGCCTTCCTCAATCCACCCCACACTGCCGACCTGTAACAACCGCTGCTTGAATGTGCCCTTCAGGGAATTGGGCAAAGAATTTGTTATTCAGATAAATAACTTTTCCTGAATTCACTAGCTGTGAAATCTGCCAGTAAGGATGTGCGAAGTGTGATTATTTTGATGATGGGAAATTGGAAAGAGAATGTTCTAAACCACGGCTTGCCAATCCTTTCATAGACAAATATAATATTAATAGATATCATTTATTAAATATCCACTTCTGTGAAAAATGCTAAACTGGGTTTTGTATGTATTCACTTTCATCTAATTCCCAGAGTAACCTCATGCAGTAGGTGTTATTTTCACCTATTTTACAGAATGGACAGCAATAACAATGAAGGTGCGGATCAGAGGGGCTTGTAATTTGCCCAAAGTCACACAGCTGATAAACAGCAGAGTCAGGATTTGAGCCCAGCTCCGCCCAGCTCCAGGTCCACTCTCCTCCCACGGGCACACTGCTTCCCGAGTTCCTTTAATGGGGCTCTTTCCTGGACATAACAGGAAAGAATCACAATATTCACATGACATTTAACTGCTTTCAAATTCCATGCTCTCTTTGGATCTTCATATCACTCTGTGAAATAAGCAGGAAAGAGACCACTGTCCTCATTGGACAGTGAGGAGAAGCTGAGACTCAGGGAGTCCCCTCAGGTGGTGTGAGGGAGTCAGTAACAATATAGCAAGAATTTCCCGAACTCTAGCTACCTACCTGCCTGGCACGGTGAGAAGCACCTTGTGCATATTTCTCATTTAGTGCCCTTAAAAACTCCAGGAGATGGGTGCCTTTATTACCCCCATTGTGCACTTGCAGGGATCTGCACTTAAATATGAGAATCCTGTGCAAACCGACGAGCCTGTAGTGAAGAAGACAAAGCTGAAACATATTTCAAACCTAAAGGAACAAATTCTGTCTCCCATGCCCCTTGTCTGCAAAAACCAATCAAAAAACAAAACCACTCATCCATTCAATAAGCTTTTCCTGAGCATCTCCTCTGTGAGGGGCAGCAGCACCCGGCAGACGATGGCCCCATTCTCGTGGGGTGACAGCTTAGTAGGGAACACAGATAAAACACAAGGAAACAAATTAGTAAATGATATACTTTCTGATAGAAATAGTGCTATGGAGAACATAAAACAGGCTAAAGGGGTAGAGAATGACAGCAGGTGGCTAGTTCAGATAAGGAGGGGATATTTGACCAGGTGACTGAGTGTTAATAAGCACTCAGCACCCAACCATACAAACCTCTTGAAGAAAGCATCCCAGTCTGATGAAGCAGTAAGTGCGCCGGCTCTGAGGTGTGACAAAGCTTGATGTGTTGGAAGGAGAATGAGAAAGCTGGAGTGGCCACAGATTATAGCTAACAATGGAATAAAATCAGAGATGAGAACAAGAGTAAGAATCATTGGAAAGTATGGCCAGTTATCAACCAGGAAATTCGATGCAAACATCCTAAATTATAAATATTAACAAATCAAATCCAAGAATATATTAAAGAATACATTTTGGGGGCCGGCCCCATGGCCAAGTGGTTAGGGTTGTATGCTCTGCTTTGGTCGCCCAGGGTTTCACTGGTTTGGATCCTGGGCGAGGACGTGGCACTGCTCATCAGGCCATGCTGAGGCGGCATCCCACATAGCAGAGCCAGAAGGACCCACAACTAGAATATACAACTATGTACTGGGGGAGAAGAAGAAGGAAAAGAAAGAAGATTGGCAACAGATGTTAGCTCAGGTGCCAATCTTTAAAAAAAAAAAAGAATACATTTTTTCCAAGGAGAGCTTATCCAAGGGGCAAAGGACAAGTCAACATAAGAGAAATTCATCCTGTAATTCACCACAGAGATGAGTATTAATTATCTCAATAAATACAAGAAGGATTCAAAAACTTCAACATTCAGAATTAACTTCAAAATCTCAATAAGTCAGGAATGGAATGCAAGTTTGTCAACATAAAAACAGATATCTAGGGCCTGGTCTGGTGGCGTAGTGGTTAAGTTCAGTATGCTCTGCTTTGGTGGCCGGGGGTTCGCAGGTTCAGATCCTGGGCACCAACCTACACACCACTCATCAAGCTATGCTATGGCAGTGATCCATATGCAAAATAGAGGAAGGTTGCCAGAGGGCCAGTCTTCCTCAGGCAAAAAGAGGAGGATCAGCAATAGGTGTTAGCTCAGGGCCAATCTTCGTCACAAAAAAAAGGTACCTATCAGAAATCATCAGCAATTAAATACCTCGTGGTGAGATTTTAGAAGCATTTCCACTAAAGGTAAGTGCAAGACAAAATTGACCGCTATCGTTGATACTAGTCATTATTGCCCTGGAGGTCAAAAGATGAGGAAAACAGACATAAAGCTTGGAAAAGAAAAAAAAATTCACTTTTTGCAGATAATATGATTGCCCACCTAAAAAAACCCAAGGGAATCAACTGAAAACTATTAGACTAACAAGAAAGTTCAAAACGATGGATAGACACACCACATATTTAATCCAATAGCTTTCCCGTATATTAGTATTAATTAAATAATAACTTTTAAAATACTCAACTTATAACAAAAAACATAAAAGTCCTAGAAAACAAACATAATTTTTAAAAGTGCAGGATCTATTTGAAGATAAAATAACATGAAAATATAAATAAAGTGATAAACCTGATTGGGAAGACATATTGAAAATACACTGATTTTCCCCACATTTATCCATCAATGCAATTCCAGTCTAAATTCAACAGCACTTTTTATTCATGTCTTATCCCACCATACGTCAAAACACACTGTAAGCTATAGTGTTAATATGGCCCAGTATTGGTGGAGATATTGGCAAATAGGTTAATGGAAGAGAATAACAAACCTAGAAACAAACCCGAGTCTATATAAAAATTAAGTATACAATAAAGGCGATAGTTCAAATTAGTAGAGAAACAATGGACTAATCCACAAGTGAGATTGGACCAACTAACTATTCATTTGGGGGAAAAATTAAATTAGATTCCTGACTCGCGCCATCCCCCCACAGAAAATGAGTTAAAGGTCAATATCCTAAAAATATTAGAAGAAAATAGGTGAATATTTTTATGAATTTAGGACGGTAAGGGCTTCCTAAGCAACAGACAAAATCTAGAAACTATAAAAATTGCCTAGATTTAAGTTTATAAAAGTTACAAAATTCTGTAAGTCAACACCATAAGCCAGGTTAAAACATAAGCCAGGTTAAAAAGTCTGGAAAAAAATATTTTCAACACACTTAACAGGTAAAGGGTTAATATTCAGAACACAGGGAGTTCCCAACAAAGCAAAAAAGAAAAAGACAACTCAACTGTAAAAATTCATAAAGGAAATAAACAGGTAATTCTCAGAAAATTAAGACTTCACACATAATTAACAATCATGCAAAGCTGCATTAGTAGAGGAAAGAGAATAATTTGACAAAAAGTAAAAAGATAGGTACCAAGTGTTGGCAAAATGTGGAGAAACAGACATTCTCATACCGCTATTTGTGTAAACTGGTGAAGCCAATTGGTGAAGGCCATTTGAGAACATCCATCAAAATGTCAAATGCACATATCAGCTGACCCAGCTGTTCCACTCCCAGAACTCTTCCCAAAGAAACATGTGTTCGTGTGCCCTGTACAACTCAACGCACAAGTTTATGGACATGGATCCATGAACGCTATCACAGTACTGCGTGCAGAAGCAATAAATTAAAAACTTAATTTACTATTAATAGGGAGGAAAACAGTTCAGTAAATTATGGTATATCCGTTCCTCAAAAAGCAGAGTGCATTAGAGATGTGGCAATACGAAGATCTCCAAAATAGATGACTTAGTGAAAAAAGCAAGCAGCAGGAATGATACATGGTTAACATGTGTATGTGAGTAAATATATCAAGAGGGGAGAAGAGTGTAGCCACACTTCCTCTGGGGGGAGGAGGAGGGGGGAAAGGAGACTCGCCCTTTTCATATATCACATCTGTCTCGTTTAGCTCTTTAAAAAAAAGAACTGAATTACTGTACCATTTGGGTAGTAAAGAATGTCTTGAAATACGCGTTACATATCATCACTAGAACTGTGTAGCTGGAGGACGGGATAAAAGGGACGGAGGGAGCACTGAACTGCAGATTCCCATCCTCTGGGTTTCGGGTCCCTGGCCTTGAGATTCAGACCTGGGAAGGGAAGAAAGGAAGGAGGGGGCACAAATAGTGCGGAGAGGGATCACGCAGAAGGTGTCCCACCTTCTTGGTTACCATGTATCCCTCTTGGTCCTGGGTGGACCTGCTTCAGCGTCACTGGCCAATGGGCAGCCCCTCGCATGGTCAGCTCCCCATCAGAGTCATCTCGGACGCCTCCAATTCATCATTCTTGCAAGAGATTTCAAGGTTCCTTCCTATCATTTAAAACAATGGCCTGCAAATTCCTCTTTGCATATGATGTATGGATTTAAAATGAGCCAGGACTAAGGTATCTGTCAGGCTTTCTCGGGGCAGGTGTCTTCCTTAGACGTTTTGACTGCCTGGCTTCCCACCCCACCTGCCCCCGTTCCCCCAGCATCAAAGGAAAAAAAACTTAACTTATACTACAATCTCAAAAGACGGCAGCCTGTAAATCACCCCTTCAATATTTACAAGCCTCTGGGAATCAATACTTAAGACCCCAGAATGAGATTCAGAGTTGCAATGTCACTATTACCATTAGTAATTATTAAAATAATTAGCCTGCATAATACTTTGCAGTCATCAGTGTTCCCGATTTATTATTTAAATGATCTTTACAATAACTCTCACTTCTACAAGACAGGGATGATTTTCTCATTTCATAAGTAAGGAACCTGAGGCCCAGAAAGGGGAGGTGATTTCCCAAAATTCCATGACTAAGGAGAGGCAGAGCCAAGACTGAATACAGGCTTCTGACTGTAAAATATGTGCCATTTCTACAAAAGTCCAGCTCATTCCAAAATAATCAGTACAATCACGTTTATCCAGGCTCTAACCTGGTAAATTTAATGCTCAGGAGCGTGGTCTCTAACCCAGAAATGAGGAAATCTAAGGCCCCTGCCCTGGCCCCAGATCGCGTCTCTAGAAGTCCTGGCCTGGGGCCTGTCCTTTGTTCCAGAGGCTCAGGAAATTACTCTGAATCCACTCGGCGGCCTTCTCTGCCCCCAGCAGATTAGAAATAGAGAATCTGAGTGGGTGGTGGTGGGGGCAGGAGGAACCTTTGAGACACAAGCTGTGCTATTCTCATTGTTTTACTCAAACATGAATCTTTGTTCCATGATGCAAATTTTGAGGAGTTGGTGCCAATCTGTTCTGAACAAAAGAATTTTGGTCGGAAAAAAACAAAATTTGGGATGGGAAGTCTGGCTTTCCTAGTTGCGCTTTTGAGCATCTGCCTCTCCCCACCACCCCCCATGCTGGATCTCTCCCAATGGTAGGCACGAACTTTGAGGAAAACTTCTTGGGTTGCTTACCAGTTACAGAAGTCAAGGAGAGAGCAGAGATGACGTGTCTGGGTTTCTAAAATAAACATCCTTATGATGCCACGGAGGTTGAACCAGCTCGCCCTAAGGGCCCTTCCTCAACACCTCAGAGATCTTAGGCTCCTTGGCTTCAGCGGAAATCTACTAAAGGCCTGACCCTCTATTTCTTCTAAATGGAATTTTCCATCTGCTTTATTGTCACAATATTGCATTAATGACACTATTTTAAATATCCATATTTATTAAGCAAATAATTATTTAACTAAAGTGTGCTTTTTCCATGTTCTCTTCTACTACTTATCCACATACCAAAAAAAGTATAAATGGACCAAATTTTTATTCAGCTAACCTACATTGAATGTCATAAGCATTTGTGTATGTTGATATATAGATTTTCTAATCATTTTAATAGCTGTATAATATTTCATTCATGATTATATTTCAATTTACTTAATACCCTATTGTTGGACATTGAATTTGTTCAAAATTTCATTGAAATTATAAATAATGCCTCTATGAGCATCTTGTGCATAAGCCTCTATCTTCCATCAAATGATTTACTTACTCTAAAATTCTAGGAGAGAAAAAGTATTAGATTGAAGGACATGAGTATCTTTTCAGTTCTTCCTAGGTTTTGACAAACATATTTAAAATTAAAGTTAATCCACTAACCTTGATATTGGACATTGACTTTAATTTTGTTACTATTAATCACAACTATATTAGTGGGTTATTTTTTATATTTTAATATTTTATTTTTTTAATCCCTTGTTCAGTTTTATCTGCCTTAAAACAGCCTCACTTATCTTCCTCAATCACAGAGACATGGGCATTTTAAAATGATTCTAAGAAACGTATAGCGATACATCTTATATTTAAGTTCAGATGAAAAAAATATATCACCTACCAGCTCATATGGCAAATATCAAAGCCAGCCTATCCGGCCACTTTCAGTGATGGGTT